AACGCCACCTCAATTTAGGGGGTAAATCAGACCTACCAAAAAAGTAACCGCAGATCTACCAAAAACGTAACTTTTGCCGCACGGATTCGTTCAGATAATTCACATGACAAGTAATACTACATATATTAATCTGCAGTATATAAAGACTCACTTCTGTAGATAAATCAAATATTATCGCTCCAGACTTCAAAGCACGGAACGTTTTAATACTTAAATATATCTAAAGAAACAATTATATGTGATTAAGTGAGGTATGAATTGTTAAGTAAGGTTACTAATTGGATTTGGATTTCATTAATCTGTAGTCACGATCTAACAAGCAAAAATCTTTTCGGGCATTTCAACAGTAAAAGACTTATAAGAATGTCTGATTTGCTGGACGTTGATGACATTACCATGGGCGAATACATGGAGGAATTGGATGTCGAATGGCCTTGTAAGTTATCATAAAAAAAGGACAAGAACTCTTTTTAGACAATCTGAAATTTCTCTTTAATTAGGTTCGGAAAATGGTCCTTCTGAACGAAAGTCTTCTTGGTTTTGGGTTAGTACTTGTTTCTTACGTTTTGTTAGTAATTGAGTTTTTAATAAAAATTTTCAACCTTAAATTATATTAAGCTTCGTGAAGTAACTTCGCAAGATGCAGAAAATGGGATGGATGTGGTAAAGTAGTTTTATAATGTATACAATATTCTATTGTTTGATAGAGACTAAATACGATTTAATTCCATTTCTTTGAACAAAAGCAAGGAATTACGTGGGATTCTTTCAACGTTACTCGTCAGCGGTATCGTGAATTACGGTGTGTTTGATTTTTTATTTTCTTTGTAAGCTGCTACTAGTGAATTAATAGATGCCTAACCAGAAATTAATTTTTATTCAGGCTCATAGACTATAAAAATTATGAGAATGTTCAAAGATCGCATGACGAAATCAAGAAGGTTTGAAATTTTCGTATCTATATACGTTGTTTCCGAGTAATCATTCTTTAACATCATGTATATGATTTTCTTTCTTAGGAAATTAAGCCTGTTCGAACAGATTCCCAATTTTACAAGTTCAAATATACCACGCTTTCACATAAATGTTCTATTGTACATTTTCAATTGCGGAATCTGCTATGGGCAACCGGAAGAAATGACGTGTTTTACACATGTGAGTTGTTGATATTCGGGTATTTTGTATAACTTTTAATTAGCATAATTTTCTGAATATAAGATTATCTTTAGATTCTTCACGTATTGGATACTGGAATTCAATAATGAAAAAATCCAAAGTAGCATTGGATCTTAATTACAATAATCGTAACGCAGAAACTCCCTTCGAAATCAGCACAATCGCTTGCAAAGATAATTATTTACTTGTTGGTGGTATGTTTAGAGGTTTAATAAATTTATCGTAAAAAGGTAGTGTATATTATTAATTGTCCAGAACATTTCAGGGTTATATGGTGAATATGCGTGTCGAAGGCTCGATGCAGATCCTATCCATTTTGGAACAATAACTACGGATTCTAATGGGATAACAAATCACATGGATATTATTGAATCACGAACAGGAGGTCAGTCATGTACATTATTCGATTTTTTGTTGTCCTGAAATTTTATTACTTTTGCTTAAATGGTACATTTTTTTCATTTATTAGGCATTGTCGCAGTGATATCAAGCAATGATAAAAAATCTCGAATAATGGATCTCGCAACATTGAAATTTATTGATACTTATGACTTTCAATGGCCAGTTAATGTATATATCTTTTAATATTTATGAATGTTTGATGAATATACACCTTTAAATAATGAAGTTTCAATACTTATTTGCGATTTAATGTAACATTGATAATTCATAGTGCACAGCCGTGAGTCCAAATAAAAAATTATTGTGTGTTGTCGGTGATGATACTGACACCGTAATTGCAAGTGCAGACTCGGGAAAAAGTAGGTCTCCTCTCTTTTTTCTTAAGAATATGCGTAAAATCTAATGCACTTTCATTATTACAGATATTGCGACTCTTAAAGGTCACATTGATTATTCGTTTGCATGCTGTTGGAGTCCAGACGGACGAATTATTGCAACAGGAAATCAAGGTATAATAATATTATAATGTAATAACAACATGTTGGTATAATTATTTTAATGATTTAACATTATATACGTGTATTATGCAGATAAAACAACCAGGTAGATAATTAGATAGAATAAAATAAACGATGATTCTATAATAATATTGTCAGATTATAAGGTGTATTATGTTATCCGCGCCCATTTTAGGTTGTATGATATGAGGAATCTATCCAAAGCGTTCAACGTACTGGGTGCGAAAATAGGTGCCGTGAGATCACTTCATTTTTCTGAAGATGGACGTTATTTAGCTATGGCAGGTTTGTGTCTGTCTTTATGTTCACCTCGAATTAGCGACTTAAATTATAACCTCGAAATATTCATTTATAGAACCAGCTGATTTCGTGCACATATTCGATGCACATACTTTTGATCGATCTCAAGTAATTGATTTGTTCGGTGAAATTGCGGGTGTCACTTTTACTCCGGATACAGACGGATTATACATAGCAAATGCCGATGAAAACTATGGGTGCGTTTTTGATCTAATTCTTATTCAATTTGAATATTTACTGCTTGTGTACTCATTTTTGTTTGTATTTAGGTGTGTCTTGGAATATGAAAGGAGGCATTCGGCAAATCACTTAGAGAATATTTTCCTATAATGTTACTTGTGGTGTCTATGTAATCATTAGTTTTTTTAAACTATTTTAGAAAACAAATTCAATCCTTTTTACCACATTTGTATACTATTATCATGTGTTTCATCTTTGTTGAGTGGCATTTTTACTCTTTTTGTCATCTTTCACTTGCTGCTTGGTAGGCCACTTTCCGTTATCAATTGCAATTTTTAAAAGTACAGTTATATACGTATATTACGTAAAGAATGACATATTGAATAGTTATTGCTCTGAATAATAGCACAGAACTTTTGATGAGTGTGATTTTAGTATATATGTTCATCTAAATTCAAAAATAAATTATTTTTTGATAAAATTAAAAATTATGATAAATGTATTAACAAATCAATTACAGGATATGTTTATATATAAAGGCTTAGATTGCTGTTACTTATAAATCAAATAAGTTGATACACCCAATTTTATTATATTTAAAAATATATATAGTTTAATCTTTTTATAGTTATCTTTAGGCTAGACCAATTTAATTCTTTGTTTAGCATGATTTTTTTTTTTCTACTTTTTAAAATTTATATAAACCTAATACATATTAATAGTAATTAATAGTATTTTTTTTTATTTTAAATTTGGCAGTCTTGCCACTACTTTATTAGGTTTAATAATATTATACTTTGAAATATTAAATTTTTACAGAGGACTATTTTCCCTAACACCTAAGTTACAAGTATTGGTTTATCCGGTTGTTCAAAGAATATCTATATGATCTGCTATAGTAAAATTTACCTCCATACTAATTTAGAGGTTATCTAAAGCCTGTCATCTTACAAAATTACCCACATCATGGGAAATCATGGAACGCACGTGGTTATGATTATTTTTAGAGAGTTGGCAATAATTTTTTTTTTTTTAACGTTAATATTTTATACTACCACTACCTGTAATATTAATATATACAGTATTATAGAGATATAGTGCAGAACACTTAAAGACAGAAATTATATAATTTGTCACATTTTCAAAAATTTCATAGTAAAATTTGATGTCTTTGTAAATTCTAGCAATTTGATTGGCTAAAAATTAATTATTAAAAAATATTTTAAAATTAATTAAAAATTAATTTTAAAATTAGCCAATAGCAGTAAGTTAAAACATGTGACTTGTCCCATTTTGAGCCAAATTTTTACATATCATATACTATATTTTTAAACTTATTAATTGAAAAAATATACAATGATTTTTAAAAAAATAAGGCTACTAAGTTGTAGCAAATTAGCTAAACTACAAAATAGTGACCTGTTTTTTGTGATAGTGTTTTTACATTGAATATTATTGGCTTTTAAAATTTGTAAAGCCTTTAAGTGTCCTACACCGTAGTATTTCTTTTTTTTAAATTAATGTTTAATAAATATAGTTTTTTTTTTTATTTATAAAAAAACTTAAGTATATGCTTGCTGGAATTAATTGTTAGAAGAATAAATCTGAGAATGAACAGGCATTTATAAAAGCTGTTATTTTATTTATTTAAAATATGCTCTAAAGAACTTTTTAAATTTTTAATAAATTCTGATTTTTCTTTTGAGCTTCCTTCATCCTCTACTCTCCAATATGCATTACGGGTTCTTTTCATTAGTTTGTTTACAACCAAGTATCAATTTTTCAAGGCCTTATCAGCTTCTGTTTTTTTAGGTATTTCAATTTTTACAACTTCATGATATTTATATATTTCAAAACCATTCTCTACAAATATTTGCTGAAATTGCACCCACATATTCAACATTAATAGTTTATTACCATAGGGAGGTGTCAAATATCAGATGATTTTTTAGAGGGGGGGTCAAAAATTTTGGAAATTACATATAAAAACCTGACAATTTTCATATATAAAGGTAGAGGTAGGCTACTGATAAAAAAAAAATCAGGTGATAAATAACAGCGCCCATATATATGTTTATGAAATATATATCAGCAAGAAAGTAAGTACTAGCAAAAAAACAAGCAAAAACAATTAAGCAAAGTCAAGCCAGATATTTCTTTATCCTTTTCAAATTTTTTTTCAACAATATAGACTTTGGTAATGATTAACTGCTAAATGAAATAGGAGAACTTGTGAATCTCACTAAGAATTTCATTGTCAACTTCAACAACAGAAATCTGTTTAATTTAAAATTCAAAGGCCGTACTTTCTGAGATTGAGCATCGTTTGGCATTCAGGTCAATAATTTTATAACAAGCATCTAATAAAAGTAAAATAATAAATTTTATTTTTGTAAATGGTGAAATTGATAATGTAATATTTTATAATGAAAATGTATTTTATTTAAAATATTTCTTATATAAAAAAATTTTTTTTATATAAAAAAAATTATTTTTTATATAAAAAAAATAAATAAATAAATAAAATAAATATTTTATAAATAAAAAACTATTTTTTATATTAAAAAATAAAATTTAAAGCCTGATTTTTATATATATCTATAATACCATAATTAGATAATGTCATTTATTTTAGATTACTATAATAGAACTCTAGAGGATTGGTTGAGGTTACTTGCAATAAAAGAGGTAAATGTTGCCATGCCTAGAGGGCCCATTGATTTGAATTCTTTATGTAATTTTGTGTAATATAGTTTTTTATACCAGAAACTTGATACACACAAATTGCTTGCTGAATGAGCTCCTTGCAGCCAATTTTTGTAGTTTTATACATTGCCTGAATCATCAAGCTTTGAGTTTTGGTTTCGTATATTTTACTCATCCATATCTGTATTACATGAACTATACAGAAAATTATAGTATACTCTTGCTTACCACTATGAAAACCAGGAAATGCTTTTCTAATACTATTAGCCTCAATGTAGCTTTGATCAGCAAGGATATATCGGGGATTTCAGTAACGTCTAAATCATCTAATAATTTTTAAAGTATCTGTGACTGTGTCGCTATCTTCTTTACTAACAAAAGTAGGCACCAACGTCCCAGCACCCGTATATATCCTTTATATACAAAGTAAATAGATGACAGTTATATTATGACAGGGTGAAACCTAAGTTGCCAACTAGTAAAACCTATGTTTATTAATTATAACATGTAAAATTTGAGATGATTACGTAAAACCATAGTTTATTTTTTAAATTATATAAAATTTGCTTTTTTTAGAGGTATTTGTGTAAACCCGACTTTAATTAGATAAAATCTGTTTTTTTTCTTTTTTATATATATAAAACCTGTTTTTTTTTAAGTAAAACCTGTAAACTCTATAACAACTTTTACTTATATAATTAATTAACATTAATATACATACCGTATTCCTCTGAAAATAAGCACCCCCTACAATTCATATATACCCGAAAATAAGCACCTCTTATATAATGGAAATAAGTAACTAAATATCAAATCATTTAAATTATTAGTTGAGATTATACCTGAAAATAAGCAACCTTATAGCAAAAAAGGGGTGCTTATTTTCGGAGGAATACGGTATATAGTATAATAATCTTAGATCTTATACTGTGTTTAATAAAATTTACAGATCCCAATTAGAACATATAAATCTATTCCAATTTGAATTACTGGACTTGTAAAAGTGACAAACACTACATATACCTCATACAAAACTGTGAAACTAAATATTTTGCTCTAACTAGTTGTAGCTTTATTCTTAAAGATAAGTTATAAGAAAGATGTTTATTCATTCAATGATTTTTTAGTTTGAATAGTTATATGATACGGGTGGAGTAGATAGGTTAGCCCATGGTTAGGTTAACCTACAGACTAACTCATGAAATAAAGAATAACGTTGTAACGATAAGGTTGTGCGAGCATCATCTTAAAAGCAAGTATACTTTTTTTTTTTTGTCAACTTAATTTACTGATCAGCTTATCTTTTCTAATTATATTATTTATTAACTCAATTTTTAAAAACTTGCTGATATAAATGATTCAGACTTTATTAACTCAATTTTTAAAAACTTGCTAATATAAATGATTCAGACTTTATTAACTCAATTCTTAAAAACTTGCTGATATAAATGATTCAGACTGAAGATTTTTGCCCTTTCTGATCAACTCACAGACAATCACTTCAAAGACACCACATTTCACTAATATCTATTTTACCGACAAAGCTTATTTTACAGACAATCAATTTACAGAATAGTTCATTTCGTAGTTAGTATACTTTACCAACAGTGCTCATTTTGCAGACGAAGTAATTTTAGTTATTGTCGTTAGGTTTAGGTTTGAAATTAGAGTTAAGGTTAGTTGATTTATTAAAAAAACTTGTCTGTAAATGAGCTGTTGAAGAAATAAGTGTCAGTGAAATGTGATGTCTTTGAAGTGATTGTTAGTGAAATAATATCGACCCAGTTTTTGCTTAGTAACGAATATAGAATTAGAGTTGAGGTGGATGAAAATGTGATATTATTTTCAATTTTAATATATCAAGTATATTTATACATTATTAGGGCAAATTAACCAATTTGAAAATATACATTCAGATAGGATACAACTTTTCAAGAAGTTTATTCTCTTGAAAGATTTTTGGTAGTGAATAAATGCTTTTTAGTTTCTATTTTATTTTGATAAGGGCACTAACATTTATTATCTACTAGTAATATTTTATTTATTATAGAGGCCAAAATTCTGATTACAATCCCCAAGTGTATTTGTTTTATTAGTGTTGTCTATTTTAGCAAATATTTGGTAATAGGCGAATGCAATATGTCCATTCTTTGACTTTAATAACAAATGCTAATTGGATGCATTCTATTAGATTCTTCTGTATTGTGAATTTATACTGTATACAATAAGTTTTTCTTTTTTTTTTAGTATGCAGAAGATAGTTTAAATAAAATTTAGAGATTATTAAAAAATTATTAATTTTTAGATATTATCCTCTAGTTAGCTAAATCAAAAACTTGAAAATGCATTATGTAAAGACTAATTAAATAACACAACACATAGATAGTAATATGTTTTACTGCTATTATCCTCCAGTTGGTCATATCAAAAACTTGAAAATGCAT